TGTCGCAAAATATTGGCAGGAAATATTATGGGGTTCAAAGGGGTTAACTAGTGTGAACGTGTGAGATTACCCTTATCTATGTGTGTCTGCAACTATTAAACATATACCGGATTAAAGGATTTACCATATCATGACAGATGACTACTGTAAAATATGTATTAGAAGCCGCGGCTTCTGTTAAAATGGTACGATGCAACATAAATGATGCGGCTTCTATTAGAGCATCTACACATATGAGAAATGATGAATTTTTGGTTCTCAATTGTACAAAAAGATTGGGTGTGACTTCTATTAGGGATGCGGCTTCTAATACAGATTTTACGATAGTTGTTATCTACCTTGTTACTCATATCGGCTCCTTGGAAACTGAAATCTGATATTCATGATATTGACATGCAATATGGGCCACAACAATTTATTGAGGTATGATGAGTTTTTCGGTCACTTGTCCATAATAATTAAACCCCTGTGTTGAGGCAAATAGCGCTTCTTATGTCAGGACCCTTAGCACATGCTTTAAGGAAGTGTGCGCGAATACTTAGCTTTGGCGAAATTGCCCAAAATGCCAATAATTCGTGGGGAAAAAATTGGACTGAGGGCTGACTGATGAGACTTTTTAATACTTCTGGTCATTCTGCAATCTTGCATAAAACTAATTATGTCCCTGGTTACAATACAGAGTAAGAGTACTGAAGATTTGTATATTCCTAACAAGTTTGGGTGTTCCTTAGCCCTTGCTAACTGTTGTTATACATATGCAAACATATGAGATTAGCGGCAGTCGTCGTGCTGCGCATGTGCGACATTTGTCTTGCACTAATTTGACTTGCACTGATTACCGCCAGTGACTCCTTTGACACCTTCCAATCACCTAAAAAATACCTAATTAAAACTTGGTAGTGTCTCAGTTTGTACTTGTTGATCTGCGCAACAGTCAAAGTCGCCATCTTTGTTTATATTTATATGAGATCCATATATCTTGTGCATGTGTGACGTGATGACCACCGCCCTTTAAATCCAGGCCGTAGCCCGTAGTTGGTGTAGCCTGAACACGACTATTTATGTTTTTCTTCTACCCTGAACATTTATGCACAGTATAACTCTTATGACTCATAGGAGTGTTTTCTCCATAAATCCATATTTTTATACCGGTATGTTGTCTTCAGCTGTATTGTATGGTATGGTATGTTTACACTGATTAAACAGCAGCAACATTTGTGAAATGTTACATATACCTGGAACTTTGATCTGAATTTTTGAGTACCAGTATAACATGCTATTAGTTGGACATTGTGTAACTATCGGGCGAGAGTTCTGAAAAACCACTTAATTTTTGCTGCTAGAAATGTGCGAGATTTGATGTTGTAGGAGCCAAGAGAAATTACATTTTTTGTACTACTACATTTAAATTACGCAAACAATTTTGGTTTGTGTTATAACATTTTGATGTTAAATTCGTTAATACAAAATCATGCAGCGTTTCTGGTTTGCAACATGAAAATTAAAGCATAATAATTTATAAAAAGAGGACCTCATAAGAAGATCTCAATGTGTCATCTGCGCGTCTCAGCGTAGTGCGATCAGCTTGTACACGATCCAGAGCTACGGCATACAGTACTATGTTATTTACTGTTATAAAAATAGGCGGCTTAAAACGCCTAATACATGCTGATATATGGTATAGCGAACTCCCCACAGTGACGTACATGTATTGGATTCACAGTTGATTCTACTCTTTAATAATGTTCTCACCAGTGACTTGCACGTTATCTTGCATAGATCAACTTCGCAACCAATATTGCACTACGAGTTGCTCATTGTGTTGTTATAATAATCTTTACTATTTTATATGAATTCACATAACATTGACAAGCAGCTGTGGTACCTTTTGATTTCTTATTAATAAAAAATGTTTTATCACAATAATTCAATTAGATAGGTATAGATTAATATTTGACAAAATAATCTGGATTTGAGTTCATAAATGCCGTATTCAGTCAATATTGATTTATACATTATCTTAATAATCTGTTTAAGTTGAAGCCGCGTACACTCGCATTGATAGCGTCTACACTTATAGACAGCCTAATAATTTTTTTTTCCAATATTATTATTTAATTGCTTCTTTACATATCAGTTGGTTTGTGACAGATCATCTCAGATTTGTCTCTACATCAGTGGGTTTCGCACAGTTGTAGTCACATGCTATCTGATTAGTTTTGCATTTTTAATAAAAATCAATCTTTGCTTTAAAGTGCACTTTTTAGCTCCGCTGTCGACTTTGTCGAGCGGAGCTTATCATATGAGTGATTGTCCGTCGTAGTCGTCTGTCGTCCGTCGTCCTTGTCAATGTTTTACTTTTTCGACTTCTTCTTGAAAACTACAAGCCTGAATGCTTTGATACTTGGTGTATATGTACCTTGGGTAGACCTCTCTTAGGTTTGTTCATTTCATGTTGATATCTTCAATTCTCTAATTTTGGTGAATATTTTTGTCATTTTTGGTAAAAAGTGATATTTTCGACTTCTTGTTAAAAACCGCAAGTGCAATTGCTTTGATATTACATATATAGGTACTACATGTGGACCTCTCTCAGATTTGTTCATTTTGTAATGATATCTTTAATTCTCTAATTTTGGTGAATATTTTTGTCATTTTTGGTAAAAAGTGATATTTTCGACTTCTTGTTAAAAACCGCAAGTCCAATTGCTTTGATACTACATATATAGGTACTACATGTGGACCTCTCTCAGATTTGTTCATTTCGTGATGATATCTTCAATTCTCTAATTTTGGTGAATATTTTTGTAATTTTTGGTAAAAAGTGATATTTTTGACTTCTTGTTAAAAACCGAAAGTTCAATTGCTTTGATATTACATATATAGATACTACATGTAGACCTTTCTCAGATTTGTTCATTTTGTGATGATATCTTCAGTTCTCTAATTTTGGTGAATATTTTTGTCATTTTTGGTAAAAAGTGATATTTTCGACTTCTTGTTGAAAACTGTAAGTCCGATTGCTTTGATATTACATATATAGGTACTACATGTGGACCTCTCTCAGATTTGTTTGTTTTGTGATGATATCTTCAATTCTCTATTTATTTTGGTGAATATTTTTGTAATTTTTGGTAAAAAGTGATATTTTCGACTTCTTGTTAAAAACTGTAAGTCCGATTGCTTTGATACTATTCATATTGTTCATTTTCTAATGATGTCTTCAGTTCTTTAATTGAAATGTGCATTGCTAACAGCGGAGCTACTAGTATCTCAGCCGATAGGCTGCTTGTTATCAAATTTGAAACGTTCATTGATATACACGTAGTACACTTTGAATACTACATGTATCATCTTTTTAGACAAATTTTAATGCAAGATTTTGCACATTTTTACTTCTTCTTTCCTACTGTAGAACACGTTGAAATAGCTGCATGCAATTTTAGTGGATTTGATTCTTGGCATGAATTAACAGAATCTTAATTTAGCTAAAGTGAGAATATACTTACTGTTAAATTAGCTACATCTTGAATTAGCGAAATTACAGATTAGCTAAATTAGCTAAAATAACATGCTAGCTAAAAAGAAATGTTTTACAGTATTTTATAATTTAAAAAAATGGCAGTGAAAAAAGTGAAATAATCTGTTCATAGGGTTAAGCCTAGGCTCATTTGCCCAAGCATTGTGTAGCTCAATTGATGAATGTAGAATTTCATTCGATGTTGTGAGAGTGGACTTTTCTCCGCTAATAGTCTGAGAAAGCAGGTAGCATGTTGCGTTAATGTGATGAACTGGTGATATTTACACGCCATGTTCTTCAGGTATAGCATATACAGTGGGATAGTATCTGTCTACTAATTAAATTATTGAGCATGTTAACAGGTTTTACAGATCACTTGTATTGTATATCAATGTGAACACAATCTTATTCTATCTACGTTGAATGTCTCTTAATCTTATAATAGGTCGCCTTGTTTTTTTCTTCTTCAGGCATTAAATCCAACACTGTTAGTTTTTTTCTTTTCACTGCAAAAGTTTTTCATTCATTTTTTTTAATGTTATTCGTGAGTTACACTTTTCGACTGTGAATATCTCCCTGCTCATAAGCTACTTTCTTTATTGAAGCATCAGTTTGTTTGTTTTTAACATGATCTGATTGCTAACTTTACGTATCCAAATTACAAAATGTTGTAATCAGGTTAGCATTTTACTGCTCTCCTTGACTTGCTTAAAAGTCTCATTGTTTATTCAAAAATAAAAAAAAAAAGAAGATGAAAATAAAAAAATACTGCAGTGTTAGAGAGAAAAAAACAAATGACAAATTTTGCTGTTGGTTGTTATATGTGTAAATACTGACCTATCAATAACATTGCTACATGTACGTAATTATTGACGTTCAGCGTGAAATATCGATAACTGATATTTCACGATAAATGTTACGATATGCACGCTAAATATCATCAGTCTGTGTGTGCTCAAACAGTATGCGGAGAAAACCAAATCATTTTATCGCTGCGATATGAAAGTTTTAGAATTGATAACAATAATTACAAGCATGGTGCAATGTATTGTCATGACTTATAACTTCTAACAATGACAACTGAAAGTTTACCTAATATGTCTAAAAAGGGTGAAACCGGTAAAACCATCGATGGGCATCACTGCAAATGTGCATCCACTGACGCGTGCTTAGATGTCATGCCTAATTAGCATAATTGAACTATCCTGTGCTTCGTAGGCATAGTTCGTGTTTTCTTTGTTGTTATGACACTCAATATAGCTCAAGTGATAATTTTTAAAAAGGTTTTCATAACATCATAGGCTGTATGTATCTACTTTCCTTTAGTTTATGGATACTCCAGTTCACTCTATAAACATATGATATCATATGATACCCCTGTTACATGTATGTGCATAGTAAAACCCCAATACGTACATGTAACAATGAATAACGATTCCAATATCATTAATAAATATAGTATGTTTTGTTTTGTTTCCAGAAAATTTTACTTTTTTTACCCGATTACATTCATGAGAGATGGCAATTTCACTGCATAGGTAAGTACTGATCACTGACGTCACACTTGTCAGCTTCTCCATGGACGTTTATCAGGCATTCACAAGCCTGTGGAAAGCACTGTGAAACGTGGTTAATTTAATTACTTGGCTGTTCGATAACAGTGTACATTTAAATTAAAGTATGGACACGGATATTTGTTTACATTGTTGTACAGTACCTTGTTGCCCCACAGTTGAGTATTCTGTCTGGCTTTTATTTAGTTTGACATTCGTGCATGTAATTTTGAATTACAGTCGTATCAATTAGTTATGTATCAAAAAAATGTTAGTTCTAGGTCTCATCTGTGTTCGTTTTTTACCTGACAGCATCCAATGTATGGATTTACGTTCTAGGCATCTGTCAGCAGATTTAATCGGTGATTTGTTTTTATAAATATTCTTCTTGACCTCAAATGTCACACATCCTGGCACTTTGCTGTTACAGCAATAATTTCCAATATTGTATCTTTTTTTTTGCCGTGTTGAACTTCTATTGTAACTGCTTTTTGGGAAAAAATAATTGAGAAATTGAATTTGTTTGCTTAGACTCAGTATTAAAGTACATGTACCAGGGTCAGGCCATAGGGCCAATTTTATTTTATTTTTTTCATAAACTGAAATACGTCTTTAATTTGTTTGTTATTACACTGCTTGTTTCTGACAATTGAATTCACTCATGGTGGACTGTCAGCTCTGTGCTACTCTAAATTTCTGTAGTAAAGACCTGACTTGATACCACATGTATCACCACCTAGATTAACCTCTGTGATTCTGCCAAGGGTAGTGTCGTCTAGATTCTGCAATACCTGACCGAAGAATCATACAATCAAACATAGGACATACAACCTAAAAATACGGCAAAGATAAATATTATTTAGATATCTCCAAAACAATTGGATTTATTGCCAGAAATCCAACCAGACTTGATAGAACAATTTTGGATTAAATATGAATTAAAAAGAGCAAGTTACTCATGACTCTACAGTTTTACTGGGAATTGATCTGTATTACTTATTAAGTGTCTCTTAGACAATAAACTTCATAGTATTCGTTGCTATTTTTTAGAAACAATTTAATAGTTTATTCATGGAAAACTCATCTAAATAAATACTGTTCTTCCAACATCATACCGAAAATAGAAGGATATTAAATATCTTTATCCTTACCCCACTCACTGTGGGGATTGAGTGTTATTTCCTTTACTCAGGCGTAGCTTCTTTATAAAATTTGTCATCTGGCATAAGATTAGTCTATCAATGTGATATTGAAGTTTGTTACCAAGGAAACTTGGTTGCTGAGCAACCACAGTCATGGTCACTTTCACGAGTCCTAGACTTCTCTAATATATGTTTCAAATTTGATGTGCTATCCACGTATTCTTATAAACAGTATTTGACAAAGCCATAACCTCAGGGTGATGTCTTGGATCGAGGTTTACATGCAGACCAAAGGTCACCTTTTTTTTTTACTTCACCTGCATTTAGAGCCAAGAATTAGAACATTACAAAGCACCTCATCTCGCCAAATATTTTTTTTTCAATCCTAATTTTATGGTGTTAAATTTTGGGAGTAAAGTAGTTGCCTGGTAGGTGCTTTTGGATTCTCAATCTTTCAGATATGGTACAATTTCTGTGAATAAATCCAATGATTTTTAGATATCTATTATCTCTTGTATATTCAATTTGTATGTGTATTTTTTTTTTAGTTTTATAAAATGTATCTTTCATGACTGAGTGCTAAGTGTACTTCACTACAAAAGGTGAAGTTCGAGACGTGTACCTTTATAATGTGAGTCAACATATTCTGATGAAACAACTCTTGACTGCATCTTTGGATAGATGTTCTTGCTATGAAATGACATTTAACTTCAGGGCGTGTACATATCTAATAGAGGATATTACACAGGTCATGGCATTTGTGGTTTGCAGAGCTTACCTACATGTATGACTATAGTACTGTATTGTTTCTGAGTTTACTAATACCGTACTTGTCCAACTTAGCATCTGCGATACTCAGGTCCAGAATTTGTGCGTTTTTTTTTTTTTAGGGAAGTGGGTGCTTAGTAGCCGAGCACCCACCTTGAAAAATTAGGCAAATGATAATTTGCGTTTGCCATGTGCCAGATTAATGAGAATAGTACGGTACGTCTGTTTTTGGTGAAATTAAAATTGTGAAATGAGGTGCATCATCATTGATTTCCTCAACACTTTTACAATGACGAAATATAATATAACAAAATATGTTTATAAATATGTTTTAGTACAATATTATTTTCACACCATCACAATTTACTATGTATATTATTAGGGTGTGTGTGAGAAAACAATATCAAGATTTTTATCATTATCTTCATTGTACAATGTGTTCAATTTTACACAAATGCTCAATGCAAAGCAATTTCTTCTGTCATAATATTTTCTCCCATGATTTGACCTACCACAATTTCCATTGACCTGGTAGGTCAAGTCTGTTATTAACCAATCAGAATGCAGTGTTGTACCAACGCAATTCTATGGAAATTCCCAAAGACCTTCTTGTAACGCGATGCGAAAGTGAATTATTGATGTCTAAGGCAAAAAAAAAAAAAATGGCATGATTTAAATAAAAAAAGACTTTTTTTAAAGGGTAAATTGAATATGGGATGAAGTATCGTCTTTCATGGTTGTTAACAGATTGTTGTCGAAGCGTAGTTTATGCACGGTTACTGTAGTCTACACATTCAAACGATATTCAAGGCAGTTGCTGTATAAATTTCATTAACGGTATTTGGAAAAGTCAAACAATGTTCAAATAGTACAATTTAGAGCATTTTGGAGTTGATGGCGTGACCATGAAAATACCAGTAGAAATGCCCCAAAAGTTGGGGGTGGGGGGTAGTTGAGCATGGGTACAGTACTACCATTTCATGTTTTGCGTTTCGTACACATCAAATGAATTACACACGAACTGGTAATAATTCAAATATACACGTATCTGAAATATCAAATGTTTCAAACAGAGGATTGGACAAAATTCATATTTATAATGAAAGACTCTGTCCAAGTAGTCATGAGACCTTGCTTTTGGCTTTCATATTAATATTCCTTACATTCAGCATCCTACTTTGTTGTATTGCCTTTTGTTTACAGTTCCTGGTGAAGCCTCAGTTAGTATTATAAAGGCGAAACATAGTATTAAAAGTTAACGATCCTTTGAAAGAGACAACTGCCTATAGTAGTGTGAACTTTTTATTCACGGCTTCCTTCAGTATTTCAAATATATCCAATACTGTAAAATACTTTATTTTCGTTTGGATTTAGTTTTCGCTATTTTTGCTGAAGGAATGATTCAGTGAAAATACAATCCAGTGAATATACCTTTTTTTCCTACATTTTACATTCAACTCATCAGAAATCAGTGAAAATAAATTCCATACAAAACACCCAAAAAGTTTAATTCCAGCATTTCACATTATAATAATTTTTTTTAGTATAATACAGGTATTGAATATTCATGCAAAGCATTACCATGAAGTTATTATTAAAATTGTTGACTAAATTTCTCTGTTTCTTTGTTTGCTAAAATGTGAATATATCGTCAATATTGATGCCTATATCCAATGAAATCCACTGTGATATATTAATCTATATGTACATTGCATGTAACACTTTCCACACCATAATCTCAAGACCGCTGTATTTAGACTATTATGTATTCACTTTTATGATGCTATTTTCAAATCAGGATACCGAGTAATATAGAATTTCACTTTTTCAGCAGCACAATTCGTGTGCATTTTTCCCCTATTTTTATGCATTTTTCACTTTTTTTCTTCATAATTTTAGCCTACAAATGTGGGTTTTATTTTGTGGATGTTGGCAAAAGTTGATTTTGATACTCTAAGGGTTAAACAGTTTTTTAATGTTAACATATAAATATGTATCTTGTAATACTGCACTTAGCGTCTTTGGTCAGAAATCTTCACTGAATTGATAATTATGCATCTTCAAGGTTGTAGATTGTGATTTCTGTACATTATTTCGCAATGCCATGAGCCATATCAATACCATTACGCATGATGGCTGTTATGTTTATACCATGCTCTATGTCATTAATTTATGATTGTAGTAAATTGAATTTTTTTTTTTTCTTCAAAATTTGCTGAATGAATAAAGAATTAGTAAAAATTTCATAGTGAGATTTATAGTGAATATTGATGTTTCGAAGGGTTATGTTATCAAATTTACTAAATTCAAGAAGGACTGAGTGGTAGATATAATGATGCTTAAATCCAATGATATTAAGAATGTTCAAGTTCAATTAAAGATTATACATGTCATGTTCATTATGCTTTTATTATAATGGGTTCATGCTATCAGGATAATTGCAAAAAAACTATGTGCAGTAACATATTCAGTATGAGAAATTTGAATTGGACACAAACTGCCTTAAGGCACGTTGAATTGAGAGTACATACCTCATCAATTTCTGAACAATCAACAATTCCCTTCTAAGGGATGCATGTTATTGCACGTTTTAGTTTAATATTAAAAAAACACTGCTTTGATGGTTTCAATAAGTTGTAAAATAACAGAGACTATTGAAAATTTAAGAATCAACATATGTAAAGTCTTATCAGATTCAAGAACAACTGTTGCCTTGGTAACCACTTGTCAATATTTTCTAATAAGTCCAACCACACCCCAAGGTTCTGTTCTTGTGTAATAATTTTTACCCTTTTGATAAAAAAAATTAAAAAAAAAGATTTTGTGTCAGGGTTTTTGACAAGGCTATTACATCATATGTAAATGTTTCTACAGTTTTTTTTCCCACCATTATTTAAAAACAATAAACCTACAATCAAGAATATTTAGCTTTGTATTTCTTAGCCTGTGGCTGGATATAAATTATTTTATTTGTTGTTTTAGGTCGCTTAATGAAAAAGCTGTTGCATCCTGGGAATGCTTTGAAGGTGAGTTGCATGTATTTAAAAAAAAAGAAGAAAAAAACTCTACATGGCTTGTAATTCTGCGTTAAAATCAATAATATTTTCTCGTCTACAATTCAATTCTATATAAAAATAATTATCTGTACTGTGCTTTACTTGCTTGCTTTCTGGTGCTTTGTACGTCTCTTGTATATTTTTATTGTGTTTTGTATTTCACTGCTCACTTGGGTGTGGCAATTAAAGGGTGGTGGTTGTCGTTCCAGGCATGCTCGAAATATGGGTTTTATATAAACAAAGATGACGATTTTGACTGTCATGCATACCAACTAGTACTGTAAAATCTGTATTAGAAGCCCCAACTTCTATTAAAATGGTACAATGCAACAGAGGGGATGAGAAATGATCAATTTTTGGTTCTCAATTCTTCAAAAAGAATGTGTGCGACTTCTATAAGGGATGCGGCTTCTAATACACATATTACGGTACAAACTGAGAGGTTACCAAGCTTTAATTAGGTATTCTTGTTGGGGATTTGGAAGGTATCAAATGAGTCGCTGGCAACAATTAGTGCAAGTGGCACCAACTGCAAAACTCGTACTCGCGATTTCATTAGAAAAGCTCATTGTTGCACATGCACGTCCAGACAACTATCGCCTTTTAATATTAAGGTCTCTGAATTCACCACAGAAAAAACAATGTGTTCGAATTGGCAGGTGTCAAAATACTATGACTACAACCGACGTGTAGATGAGCTGAGATTCTGCCATCAAATATATGACTATGTAGAATACACTATACAACACTATTGTTCTTGTCATTGTACTTTTACTCATCTAATGTAAAACTTTCCAAACTGCTTATTACTAGTATATAACTAAGCTGTTTTTCATAATCACTCTGATTCTTTAGTGCTAATGTTTTGAATTATAAAGAGACCACAGAGTTCATATACAGATTGGTCAATGCAATGGATACCTATAAATTGACCATGCATTGAATGGCTGTAGATCTACCAATGCAAATATGCAAACTAAAGCATACTGTGAAATACTTTATTTTAGCTGGAATTAATTAATAGGCTTTTTGGGCGTTTTGTATGGAATTTATTTTCACTGATTTTTTTGACAAGTTGAATGTAAAAGATAGGATAGGATTTTATTTTCACTGATTCATTCCTTTAGCGAAAATAGCGAAAAATTAATCCCAAGCGAAAATAAAGTAATCCACAGTAATTCAATTGAACATTAGTACATGTACAATCATTCTGGTATATTAAATTAATTGATGTTTTTGTATTTCTTCGCCAGCTTCGCAGGGAAGGTATTCGTCTCTTTCTGCTCTGGTTTCAAGCGTTACAAGAACATGCCGATGATGAATGCTATCTAATCTATGCAACCTTGATACCTGGGTTTCCGCTTCCAAGCAGTGCCTCTACCATTCATACCCTGGATAGTTTAATCAACAACTCTGCAAGACCGCCCTCTAGTGTCTTTCTAGATTGTAAGTGAAAAGAGACTCTGGATTCAACCATTATTTTGATGTTGGAGGGGAGGTTTTTGCTCAGAGGGGTTATAGAAATACATGAGACTTCAGACACAGAAAATAATGCAACGGCAGCATTTTAGGGTGAAATATAGATTGATTTTTTGTTTGTTTTAAGTTTAGAGTAAAACTGACTTTAGATTTCTGTGATCTGCATGACATTTCTTGGGTGATTTTAGATGAATTGATTTGTTTCATATTTTTTCACAAATGTATGTACTGTAAAATACTATATTTTTGCTTGGAATTAATTTTCGCTAAAGGAATGATTTAGTGAAAATAAAATCCAGCGAATATACCTTTTTTTCTATATTTTACATTCAACTCAAAATAAATGCTGTACCCAAAAAGTATTTTCATCGAAAATTAATTCCAGATAAAATAAAGTATTTTACAGTATCCAATGTATCGAATAAACAGCATATAAAATACTGTAAATGTGTTTGTTAAAATGAAATTTGAACATGTGTTGTGTGATGACTGTAAAATTTTACTTGTGACTTTCATCTTTGCTTTGTTTCCATAGTTACTGCAACAGCTGTCACTCCTGTAGAAATCACACCTCTCATAGCTCTTCAGGCTGGTGAAAAACAACCAGAAAATATTACAAAGTTTTTATTAGAATCTGTCCTTCACTTCAGTGTCTCCCAGGTAAGTATTTATAGCATAGTAATAACTGTGACATCATTACTTCATGTACCGTTTCATTTTTTTCATCACATATTGGATCATCTCACGACGACAACTTGAATGTGCATACTGCTTACTGCTTGGATTGCTTGTGAGATTTTGTGATATTGTTTGATTTCCCAAAACGAATTTATTTGTGAATTTTCTGTGGACAATTAAAATTAGATTATTTGTGCAGTACTTATCAAATTAAATTTTTAAGTTTTTTTTAAATATTTACCATTTTGGCATGATGTTATAAAATTAAATACATATTTATAGCAGCCATTATTAACATGATTGTTAGCTGAAATAATTTTCCTCACTTTTTGCAGATCACCAAAATGGACTGGCGGGATAGTGAAAGAAAGGAGAGAAGTTTTATATTTTTATTTGAAAATTTTAAGAAATATTACCTGCCACATGTATTTCCTGAGTTCTCCTGGAAAACTAGTCTGTTTGATCCTGTTTTAGGTAATTGCACCTACGAGTTCTCCTTGGTTGCTAGAGGAGGAAATGCATTTGTAAAGTCGTTCAGTGTAATTGTAGCATTTGAGGCACTTAGCTTTAATTTGTAAGACTCTCTCAGGTTTTTTACTAATCTTGAGTTGAAAAGCACAGCAACCATAAATACAGTTACAGGCTCAACCTCAACCCTTTAAAAGCGAAAGTCAACTTAAGTCAAAAAAGGTGCACAATTTTTTTTTTTTTTTTTTTGAGCGTGAACTGTACTCTGGTGATTTTGTTCCAAATTTAACTAAGCAATTGTTGAAAATATTTAAAAATTTGCAAAAATATGTAAAAATTTGCAAAAGGTTGCACCAAAATTTTAGCGAGAACAAATTATAGCGTTAAAGCAGTTAAAAATTACTGTATGTGGAGTCCAAATTACCTGCTTTGTAATCAATTTAACAAACAGATCGGCTAATCTATGTTTGTGTGTATCTTTTTCCTCAGACGTTCCTGACTCACGATCATTTTCTGAGGTCAATAAAGGTTTTGATGAGACCGACTCAGGCAACCAAGTGTCCGCTTGTCGGGTTGCAGTCATCAGATGGGTTGTAGCATTTACACTAAATATTAGAAAACTTACAAACAAAACAAGGTATGTAC